TTCTTGTGTCAAAATTTGTGCTGGAAATAATCAGAGTGCACCTGAGATCAAAAAATAACTGACTAACTGTCCACGGACTAATGTGACACCACAGTAAAAACACAAAAAGATCAATGATAGTCAATGGGGGAACTAGAGTTGCATACATAGGGTGGCCAAGGCTAATTCCAGGGGTCCAGACAATGACAGAACAGTGTATAACCAGAAGCTGACATCAAAAAGCATGATTGATTCCTATTACTTCACATTACCCCACCTATACGTATAGCTATAATCTAACTTAAGTCACTGTGACTGCTAGTACAGCTGTACACATGATGAAGGTTAGGCTACTGGAACTCTCTTATTTCTCTTATCTGATTTGCTGTCTGATAAGCAAAAGATCTTACGTTAACCTGCGGGGATTTTCGTAAGTTATTCAGGAAACCTGAAAAGTGTGCGCTTTGTGAGCATGATGGTAGACTAAATGTAAGCATGCATTTACTCATCTCATTTGCACAAAAACAGATTCACTATTCCTCAAAATGAATAAAAGTTGTAAAATGCAAACTCAGAATATTACGCAACCCTGCAATAATAAAATGTTAAATAACACATATATCCTTTATGTATTTAATCTCACTTTATTAACCAATGTTTTTGCTGCTGACCTTCAATGATCCAATTCAAAAATTCAACCATACTAATAAGCAAAAATTTGTATGGTACATTTGTACGTTTTTTTGTTGTTTTTATTGCTGAAGAGTGTTGAACTCACTTCTCGCGTGTTCTATTATTCTGCAATCCAGAATGGCAGCACAGCTGAAATATTAGTTGAGCTGCGCTCTTTACTGTACAGATGTGAATTTGCATTTCCTTCAGGTTGAGACTTATCAATTTCACTTTTGGTGTGAAAAGGACTTTACGATTGCCAAAAACAAAACTTTTTCCCAGTTGAGAAAAAGTAACGCAAAAGTAGACATTACTTTCCATAAAAAGTAACGCAATTAGTTACTTTTAAAGGAGTAACACAATATTGTAACTCATAACTTTTAAAAGTAACTAACCCAAACAGAAGAGAGAGTGTGAGTGTGTTATATACTATTTGTACTATATAATTATATATGTATATATATTATTTTTATTATAATATTATATCATTTTTTCGTATAATAGCTTGCTTTTTTTCTCACTCAACTTTATCTATTCGCTGACATCATCATAGTCATGTGGGCTATTGGTTAACAGTAACCATTAGAAAAATAGCAATTTAGGCACTGCTTAGGCAATTTAGCATGATAAATGCAATAAATTCATGATGGGTAAAATTAAATTGTACATTTGTCCATGACGTTTCACTTAGAAATGCGTCAAATTACAGAGATAAAACAAATGGCAAATTCACACTGATTTTCACACCATTACCAAATGGTAAAGTAAACATTTGACTTTTCAGAGAAATCATCCTATGAATAGTGTAGATGACTTTGCAGTTTGCACATTGGGATGTGGGATAGGAGACAGTATTGTATATCAAAAAATGACACTTCAGCTTAAATAATATAAGATCTTAAATCTGAAATGTTCAGCTCGGGCCGTTCCTTGACCCATGAGGTTTCTTCTAGTCTGAAGGATCATCCAGACGGTGCACTCAGACCCATTCTGTAAGTGAGCTGACACTTTCACTTTTACAGTGCACAAGAGACGGAAGAGGGGAAAAAGTGGAGGAAGAGAGAAAGAATGCAGTGAAGTCATTTTTCAGCTTTCATATGGTTTCCAGGACAAAAATACAAGCACATAAATCCAAAATATGAGGTAAAGCACACACAAGTTCTGTTTCAAGGTCACATATAGGCCAATGTTGTTATTGTGAACTAAAACTTTAGTACAAATCATTTTTATTCTTTGAAATAAAACATAAATATGATAAAACTGAATAAATAAAAGCTAATTCAAGTATGAATAAATACTATAGTAGTATATAAATAACACACACACAGCAATAAAAATAATGATGGCCTAAGCAAGCACCACTAATAACTTGATTTTAATAACTTGTTTATACCATTTTAGAAAATGACATAGCCCATTGGTGAAGATGATCAATCTCTTATGAGTCACAAAGGCATGACATCATCACTCAGAGAGGCTAAATGCACATGAAATCTGGGCTTTTACTGCTGCATGTTCAGTAGTAAAGATAACCACAGCTAATCATTACAATCTCCTGCTGACTGAGGGTTCGCTTGGATGAGAAGACATACTTACACAGTGCTCCACATGCTTAAAATACACAGCTGCCTTACTACACAAAGACCAACACAGTGCCAACCGCTTTCACCAGCAACCGGCCAGTAAATATTTATGAAAAATAAAAATAAAATCAAGTCACTGACTCACACGGCCAAAAGCGGCCATGAACCAATCAGAGGCAGAGCAATCAGTCAGACTACAGCATGACATCATGAGTCATGACATCAGCCCCTGAAACTAAACACCCCTCTCAATCCTCGCTTTGCTCTTTTCTCTGAAACAAGTTCAAGGACACAGAGAAGAAAACAGAGTGTTCTGGCTGTTCTCACATTAGTGCGGCCGATTTTTTGGCCACAGACTCATTATATGGAGCATGACATCATAATCAGCATAGTCACACTCATTTTTTAGTGTCTTTAGACAAACTGGACTCACATACCAGTACTGATCTTCACCATGCTGGGACTTTACACCTTGTTGTATATTTACATAGTGTTGTATACTGCATCGTAAAAGTTTATTGAATTGTGTTGTATAGTGTGTATAAATTGAATTGTTTCCTGTATATTTTTTTTAAAACATTTTTAAATCAAGAAAAATAGTGTATCAAGACATTTACATGATTATATACATGTATGTTATATATTACATTATATGATTAAAACATTAATACAAATTTCAATGCTATTAATGCTTGAATTAATTTAAGATTTATTTTACGTCAAGTAAATGCATCTTGCTTAAGGATGTTTATATATTTTGATGGGAAAACAAGACAAAAAAACAGATGAGTGTTATTTTAGTGTCATTGATACTATTATATTTTTAGTTAAATTTCTGAATTAGAGTTTATTTTTATTTTGTTTTCACTTTAATTTTTAGTTTTAGTAATTTATTTGGTTTTCATAATTTGTATTAGTTTTTTTAAAATATGAAAATATATCTATATAGTTTTTACTTTGTTTATTTATTAGTATTAGTTATTTTATTTACTTCATACTTAACTAAACGAAAATGAGAAATGTTGGTAACTAGCTCGGTTTAAGTTTTTTTATATTTTATTTTAGTTCATATTTATTTTGTTTTAAATAACACATTTTATATATATATAAATTATTTTTTACAGTTTGTGTATTATATATTTAGCAGACATAAAAGTGTCATACAACAGTTAATTGTATTTGTTGGTGGTCCAAGAGTGGTGTTATTTTGTATAACTGCACTGGAACTTTTCACTGTTTGTATCACTCCAATTGTCTGTGGGTTGAGAGTATGTGAGCGGTAAAGAGTGGAAGCAGAGATTTTGCCTGAAGCAAGGAGGTTTTTAAAAACTGGAAAATCTGTTTTCTCTCACTCTACACTGTAAAAACAAAAACTCAACTCATAGTTTGTTTCCTTTTTGCATGACCTTGTTTGAGTTTCAAATACTTCCAAAAGTTGAGATAACTTTTTTTTTTTTTGTCAATTGAAATACATTGGACAAATCAATTGGATAAACACTGGTAAATTAAGTTTAGTTTACAAAGAAAAAAAAAATCATTTTTACAGTGTAGAATCGATCAGAGTGAGGTTTCTCTTCTTTCTGTGGTTTCTCTACTGAAGATTGAGAAATGTCTTTTTTCATGCACTTTAAGTCAATGGTATCCAAAATGGTTTGTTTACAAACATTCTTCCAAAATATCTTTGTGTTTTGCAGAAGGCAGTCAGTTATACAGGTTTGGAAAGACATGAAAGGGAGTGCATGATGACAAAATTTTCATTTATGGCTGAACTATCCCTTCAAGTCGGTTTATTAAGCCATATTCCTCGTGGGACTGCTGACTAGTCCTCACATTGTAGCTGATTTCAGGTTATACTGTCCTTGAAGGGAGATTTGACCCAAACACACACACTTTTCATTTCACTCATACATTTCAAAAAGATTACCACAAAATAGCCGTGATACCAAAAATGGAAAAGCATTCTGATAGCACTGTGATACAGTCACCCAAGAATCCAAATGTGCTGAACGCAGTGTGTAAACAGACTCCACTCGCGCGCAGATTAATACACTCAAACGCAAATGCATTGCACGCACACGTGGCAGCGCGATTAAAAGCGAACAGCGTTCATGTGTACAATCAGCTGTGTTGAGCCAGTCAGACTGAGGCGTCTTTCTGCTGTTGCTGTGGTCCTCATCAGATCTGCCTCTCTTAACTAGTTTTCCGCCTGACAGACACAACATACCACACATACACGCATGCACACACACGCCTACCACCATCTGTCCGGGCTATCGCAGAGATCACAAGCGGTCTGTGGTAAACCTGTCTTCCCCGCAGAAACGCTCCAGATACAAACCTGAGCTTCCAAAACAGATGAGAAGTTAATGACGAAGCTGTGGCGTTTCCTCTCAAATCCACAGCAAACTTTTGTCTCATGTCATTCTCTCCAGATTTTGCATGGAACGGATCAGCTTGCGCACTTTCCCCCCCAAAACCAGTGCTGTCTTTCCTCCCAGACAGGAAAAGCACTCCAAACACGTACACACACACACACACACACACACACACACACACACACACTCACACACAAGTATTCCCCTCGTGCACAGCGATGACTCATTTCCACGATCCTTCTGAAGACGCATGTGAAGACCATCCCTACACTCCCAAACACACTCCAGCCTCCTTTTGTTGAAGCCCCTACCATAAACACACTCATAAAAGCGTGCGCGCCTGCATTCACACACTCGCGTGCGTGCCCTACAGATCAACAAATTGAGTCACCTTTTAATCCCGATCCACTCTGAATAAGCCCTTCCACATGTATTCCTCTCCTCCCGACGGCAGCGGGTCAGTTCCTGCACTTCATTTCTGCCAGAGCAGTGTTCTCGGAGTGACCACAACAACAGAGCTGCGTTCCTCTAGTCTCACCCTCTCTCTTTTCCTATCTCAGTTTTCCTAAGCAGGGGTGTGTGCGCTGAGGCTTAGGCAACCCCTGGAAGAAAATGCAGCGCTCTCTGGGTCCTAGTGCTCATCCTGTGCACTCAAAGATGCCATTGACTGTGGCTCAGGGGGAAGCCCTGCTCGCCAGAGTCACTACAGAGGCTGCAGGTGGCATAACCATTAGCGTGCCAGGACTGGGGGATTCGAGGACAATTTGAGGACGATTAGGCTAGGTCTAAACCAGGGGAAGGCATCTCTGACCCTTGAGATCCTTCTTTTTTTTTTTTTAGCTCCTCCAACCCTAAAGAAACCCACTTGAACAAGATAATCGAGATCTTCAGGATTGCTAGAAAGCTAGGCAGGGGAGTTTGATCAGGGCTGGAGCTAAACTCTGCATGAAAATGGATCTCGAGGACCAAAGTTGCCCAGACCGGGTCTACACTAATCCTGATTCATTTGAAAAAACACATCTTTGGGGCAGATTAACTAAACAGGGCAAATTAGCGTTAGAGCGCAATTTTCAAAAAAGCGCAGGAGTGGAAAGTTCTGCGTGTGATCTACTGACGACACGCAGATCAAAGAACACAGATGAAGCTGGATCATTTCCATAATGACCAATGCAATCTAGTAGGCTACAACCCCAGTACATTGACGAGCGTAAACCTTAGTGAATTACCTTGCGCGATTCATTTAAATACTCTCCTCCCATAAATTTAGCATCTTGAGAGGGAAACTCCTACAAATGCATATGCAATAAGGGTGCTTTCACATCTGTAGTTCGGTTCATTTGGTCTGGACCAAGGGCGGAAAATGATACTTTGTAGCATTTTTCAGGCGTTTTGGTTCCTCTTCACACCACACTGAGTGCTCTGGTCAAATCAGTTGATGAGTTGATGAAAGGAACCAAAATGCAGTCACGTGACAATATAACTGCACTTCGATTGGTCTGAATTAACGCGCGGGAAAATTCCACAGATCTATGAAACCCCCTTTCCCTGAGCTGTTTGCTAAACAAAGCGAAGATTTCGCTGTTCTTGTGAGTTTTTGAAAGTTGGGACCTAATATGGTCATCAGACCAAATTTCTATGAGGCTCCGCACCTCCTCACAACTCCAAGTTTGTCCGCGAGCTGCCATGCTAGAAGTGCAAACTGTCAACAAACATTAGTCCTCATCCCATAATGCACAGCGCAGCTGACTACGGCAGCTGGTTTAGTCCAAAAATGTGCAGGTCTTTGGCAGTTGGGTCTGTTCGAGGTCGGATCACGTTCTCACCACAAACGAACCGCTCCAGAGTTCGTTTGAAAGCGTACTGACTGAGACCACCTCTTCGAGGAGGTCTCGGTACGCTTGTTTGGTCCGCTTTTGGTGCGCACCCGAGTGCGATTGCTGCATTCACACCTGCCCAAACGAACCGCACCAAGGGGGACAACGAACTCTAGTGGGATTCAACCGAACTAAATGAGGCAGGAAAGCACCCTTATGGCGCTTTTCCACTGCTGGTACGGCTCGGTACGGCTCAGTACGGTTCGGCTCGGCGCAGCACGGTTCGGCTCGCTTCGCTTTTCCACTGCTGGTACGACTCGGCTCGGCACGGCACGGCTCGGCTCACTTTAGCTCGGTTTGCTTTTCCACTGCAGTTAGTTCCGCTTCAAAGTGGGTGGGATTATAGATGGACCGTTATAGTTTATCCGCTCCTCGGCAACCAACGAGACGAACGTCTGCACTTCGTCCACTGACCACGATTCAGCCATTTTTTTTTTATGGAAGTTTTCTTTCTTTCTTTTTTCTTCAAGCAAGTCAAGCAAGTAGTTTTAAAACAGGTGCTACAGCGGTGGCTGTTGTCTACTGGCTATTTAAATCTAGTGGGTTTAGTGTCTCGTGTCGCAAATACAATGACGCTGATAGTGACGATTCTGTCTCTCTGACCAATTCAGTGATCTGTTGTGTTTTCACGTCACATTTAGTACCGGTACGGTACGCTTGGAACCTCAACAGAGCAGGTACCATTTAAAGCAAGCCGAAGCGAGCCGTACCGTACCGTACCATGCAGTGGAAATGCGCCATAAGTGAGCCGTACCGAACCGAGCCGTACTGTACCATGCAGTGGAAAAGCGCCAAAGCGTGCCGTACCGAACCGAACCGTACCGTTCCATGCAGTGGAAAAGCGCCATTAGATCAGCCTCAAAAATAACTCTGCCCACGCCTTTTCAGCGCAAATGTTTCACTGTGTCTTTAGTAAATCCTGACTGTAATAGTAGAAGAAAACGAATAAAAAGAAATGTGATGCCGAGAAAATCTAAATGTAATGCCGCAATCAAAACTTTACATCTATTTTCACAATTCACTTTAATCGGGACAGCTGTAAAATAACTGTTTTCTAGTTAGCAAATCTGCAACTTGCACCAAAATTTAAATAGTATTATGGTATTTCAATCTTACCCGTCTCTAACTGGCACATAAAACCAAAACAAACTGTAACTGGTTTGCATTATAGGCCATTTCTCGTTTAAGTGGGAGGCCAGAGTAAGTGAACCAGACCTCATGCAGACTGTCAAAAACCCGTCTATGCGAGACGATGGCAGGCAACTGACCACTCAGACACTGGCTGGGGGAAAATATGCAAGGAATGGGTAGAAAAACACTGCATATTTTGAACTCCGTGCATGAAATAGGCCTCTCTGTGCGCTGCATTTCTGCGTTTCTCAGGAGACTGTAATAACAGGCTTCAGCAGAAGACGAAATACCAATCTGCTGAGAAGATACCAAGGGCACTGTAGATCTCTGACATTAATAACATTATCCCTCCTCTGGCAGTCATACTTCTTTTTAGAGGGTTTTAAACGCTTTTACAGTAGTTAAGCACAACGTACGTCACATAAATAAAAGGGTTACCTCCACACACAAAAAAAGACAAAGACATCAACTCCAGGTGAGCCACAATTGCAGGGTGAAAGACAAGATGATTGTCTGAGTGATTGATTGAAAGGTTGGAGATAAAGTGAGAGAAAGGAAGATTACAGGGAAAGGAAAAAGAGGGGGAAAGAGATCTCGCCCTTGCACGCTCGTCTTCGGCGGCGGCGGCTCGGATCGATAGTAATCCGGAGAGCAGGAGTTGTTTATTTTGGAAAGTCAGAGGCCTGAAAGGGTGGCTGCATTCTCACAGAGCCATTAATCAGATGGAGGGGAGGAACCACCGTGTCAATGCCCACATGCCTGTCCACATACCACACAGCGGACACACATCACTGACTTACTGTAGTCGTAGCTCACACACCCGCTGGGCAGCACGGCTCCTCCTCACCCGACGCGTGCTATTGAAAGCCAAACCATCTGAAAACACACAGGACGCAAAAGTAATCAGGTTATCTGGTAGAGAGTGACCGGTCCTTAGGGGAAACTGACTTGATTTTTATCTAAAGTGCATCTGTAGGGTTTTAAGCACTGTGTATAAATAGAACGGCATAGTAGAATTTATCATATAATGTAATAGAGCCACACTCACAGGCATAACCAAAGCTTCACATGCCGGTGTGACATAAATTTGTCCTTTGAAAGCACTCACTCAGACCATTACAGAGGTTCAAATTATGAGTTGCTTCCTAACACATTTATTGGAGAAATACTGTAGTGATGCAGGGAACTGTGGGCTTGATTTAAAGACCCCATGAAATGGTTTCTTGGACTGTAGGACAAATCAAGGTCTTTAAAAAGGCAAGAGCCTTAAAGGGAAAGCTCACCCAAAAATGAAAATTCTGTCATTCAGAATTTTGATAAGACAAAAGAACAAAAATTATCCAACAATTTTCAAACCTTTTGAGGTATAACAGACCCCAAATATGATGATCCCCTTGCAAGGGCTCCAATGCATATAACAGCATATTGTTTTATACACAGCAAGACAATATACATATAGGCTTAATTTAAATTACCCGACTATCACTTGAAGAAATCCATCCCTCTGTCCTTTTAAATGTGTTTTAGGCCCTATATGATTCCCTATATAATCGCAGAATCTAGTCATAAAACCGGAATTAACTGTATAACGTGTAATTTCACGGAATTTGTCAAATTTTTGATGAATAAACACAAAGCAGGTAAACTTAAATGAAAAAAAAAATCGCGATATTGGTGTCTGTGAACATTAAACTGCAAAAAGACTATTTAAATACGAATCCTGCATGTTCTGAGTGTCTGACTGTGTGAATGAATGGTGCAGACGCACGGTTTGGTCTACCACACACACTGAAGTACGCGTGACGCTCGCACCCTCAGCCACCTCACTATATGAGAACATGAATGCATGAACTTCTTCTCCAGAGCCGCTCTGACAGTCACTTCAGCAGCATTTTACCTTCATTTGAGAAAAACTAATCTTTGTCATAAAACACACAGAAGTTCAAAGGTCTTCACTGCAACCCGTCAAAATAAAAGTTTGGTTTAACTTGACAGAAATATATACTGTCGTACAGTAGAATTTAGATACATCTCAATGTAATAATAATACTAAAACACTAATAATAATAATAATAATAAATTATTATCAAAACTTAATTTTTTAATGAATAATAAAAAAAAATGTCTTCCATGTTTTACTTTTTTAACAGTAAAGCTCATTGTGCAGCACGTTGTTTGACAAAAAGATTAATTTCAAATGATTAAAAGATAAATTAAATTAATGTTTTGTGTCAATTTGATTACTAGAAAATACACAACACAAAAAATCATAGAAATGAAAATTAAAAAGATAATAATATTGAAAGTGTTGTTTTTAAGAATTGAACTAGTTAGACATGCTTTTTGATTATTTAAAATTAATTAAACCATTACAATTGAGTCCAGAAAACTGAAAACACAGAATTTGGTCAAAAATAAAATGGAATTTGAGATTTTGTTTTTATTTTTTATAGAACTTTTCTTTTACACTTAATTTCATTACAGAAAAGTTTTTAGTTAACTCAGATGTTCCTAAAAATACATAATAATATAAAATGCATTCCTTTCTCTCAACCACTAGGGGACCATGTC